GGGCTCAGAGCCGGGTGGCGGCAGGCGGGGAACCTTGGCTTCCTCCATCACTGGGGCAAGCAAGCCTCCTGCTGGCTTCAGCTGCGTGGCTTCCGGCCTCCATCTTTGTTGGCAGTTAACACATTGCGTACTGCATAGAAATCTCTAAGACATACGCCAGGGACCTCACGTTTTGGGGTAAACTGCACGTTATTTAAATCATTATAATGCTCTTTAGGTGTTGTTTTTCAATAATTATAACATTTTTATTTACAAAAACATTTAAACAATTAAAGTTCCTAGTACTTTTTTAATGTATGGTACTGCGTAAAATATTTTCCTCTATTAAGAGGGACGAAACAAAATTTACATAAGTATCTAGATTTGCTCCTTTTTCCATGGGCGTGAAAAACGAGAACACTCGAGAGCGGTCCTTAACAGATGGCGCGCGAAACACAAGACAACTCCTGAGTGGTACGAAATGTGTGAATTTGCATATTGCCCTGATTAGCCAATGGGAAGCGTAGCGGAGGTACAGTTAATTACCCTTTTTGTCTTTTATTAGATAGGATTGATTTTTAGAGAGGAAGAGAGAGAGACAGAGAGAGAGAGAGGGAGAGAAACATCGGTGAGAGACATACATGGATCATCTGCCTCCTGCACTCCTCACACTGGGGATCCAGCCCCCAACTCGGGCATGTGGCCTGACCAGGAATAAAACCGTGACCTCCTGGTTCATAGATTGACGCTCAACCACTGAGACACTCTGGCCGGGCTTCATCATCTCCTTTTCTTACTATGAGAGGGATCTTTCAGGAACTGATAGTCCTGGTGATAAGTGTTTCTCTGAAGTTTAGCAGTCCTTTCAGTGTTCTCTCTTAAATTCAAGTACAGTTAAATTGAATTTACATGTAATATGGATGATCCCTTCTTTATGAAATTGTTTCTACATAATTTTACAGGGTGGGGCCAAAGTTGGTTTACAGGTTTACAGTTGTTTGTATGGGAAAGAAATACAAAAATTAATAAAGAATAAACTTTCATGTACTTACAACTGTAAACCTACTTTGGCCCCACCCCGTGTAAGGAAATGTCTGGAATTGAAGTGGTGGGATTTTTGTTCCCCTTGGTGCTTTCCTGTGTTGCTTTGTTTTTAATGAGCGAGTATTAGTTTAGAAAATCTCCTTTAGGGACATCCTATGTCCTTGGGATTTGGCCTTTTAGGCGACAAGCTGGGCAAGGGTGGGCCCAGTGCAGACGTTCCTGCTGCCTCTTTGCCTTCTCCCGGGTGGTATGCTCTTCCTCTACCTCCTACCCTACTGCCCGGCACCTTCGGGTCTCTCCGCACGGCCTTTCTAACGGCCGAGAAGGAACGCAGGCTTGCTCAGTGCATCAGCCAAAGACGAGATGTTCTTTGAGGAGAGGCCATGCACATGCCCCGGAGACATCAACCTTATTTGGGTCTTCCTTGGTTCCAAAGCATTTGCTGTTAAACCTCGGGCCTTGGAGATGTGTGGGCTGGTGGCCCGGGTCTGCACAGACTCAGCAAACCTCTGATTTGGAATGACATGCCTGACTTCAACTCCCACTTCCTTGCAGGATGTCACACCGAAAAATTTCCTTGCTGTGCTGCGAGGCGATGAAGAAGCAGTGAAGGGCATAGGGTCCGGAAAGGTCTTGAAGAGGTAACGCCTGCTCGCTTTACGCCATCACACTTTTCTGAATGATCTGGCAGCCCAGAATCGAGTTGGTCTTGGCTCCCGACTTGGGAAACGGCAGAGCGGGGTGCTCTGTCCTGAGTTAAGACCGGCCGTGCAGGTTGGATGGCTTCTTTGGCAGCCCATTGCTGCACCACGTTAACCCTGTGACCCAGGGTCCGCCGTCACGGATCCTAGTGCTGTACATTCCACGCCAGTGGCACGTCCCGAGCCTGGTGTGAAGCCCACAGCTGTCGGGTCACAGGGCCACACCTGCCGCCAGCCTGTGTTCTCACCGCAGGGCTGCGAAGTGGGGGGAGCACACTCGTGAGTCCGGAGCTAACCTTTGCGGTGGGAAAGCTCACACCAGTGCTTGCCCCGACGCCTGTGGGCGAGAGATGTGCCCTCTTTAGCTTCTCTTTCTGTAGCATTTTTACATGATGTCAGGGCCTTTAAAAGCATGCCTTCAGAGAGTCCCAGGTACTTGGCACACAGCACTGTTTCTCTCCCGCTAGGGAGGCCTGGGCACAGTAAGCTCATGTGCGTTAGAGCAGAGATGGACAGTTGTGTGGGATGCACCAAATTGGTTCCAAGGTAGTTAGCACATTTCTGCAGCCTCGAAGCAGCGCCCCGAGTGGAATCCCTGGCGAGGGTGGGCAGGTGGGGTCCCTGACTGTGCAGGCCCGGGGCCCGGAGGGAGCTGGAGCTGCAGGACACGTTTGGATGTGTGTCCTGGCTCCCTTACTCATTTGGGGGACATCTGGTTAGAGCATGTGACTGCTTGGGATGAGGCCCAGTTGCCAAAGGACCCCGCTCTGCAAATCACACCTGGTCTGTCTGGTGAGCTGCCCCGCACGGATCTCCTCCTGACTCGGTCCCGGGCCCTAGGCTATGCCCTGTGCTCAGAATCACACCCAGCTGCTCAGAGGGCGGCAGGCCTTGTGTTGCTCTTTGTACCAGGGTGGGGGACTGCAGTCCACAAGCTTCTTAGTTTTGGTTTTTTTGGGGGGTGGGGGTAGACGGGTAAGGGTGACTTCAGAGAAATAGAATAGGAAACGGTGGACTCTGACTCTCGTTCTCTCGTGGCAGCGGCCCCCAGGATCACGTGTTTGTTTACTTCACTGATCACGGAGCTACTGGACTACTGGCCTTTCCTAATGACGATGTGAGTTTTCCTCAACACACGAGGGTGGGGAGCAGAACGCGGTGGTGCCGTTAAACCCGCAATGTGGGTTCCTGGCGTCCCACCAGGGTGGTGTGTGGGGCACACATTTAGCAGCTTGAAATCTACCCGGGGCACCCCCTCCGGCCACTTTTCCTGACATTTCTCCACATATCACTGCCTCAAGGGCTGTCTCAGCACCTGGGAGCCTTGCACTACACGCAGTAATAGACCCCTGTCCCTGAACGCTCTGGGCAGAGTGAGGAGTGCGGAAGCGTGTTCTGCCCTTTTTAAATCTGTGAATAAACCCTTGGGTGACTGACGTCTGGATGCTGCTCACTAGATCGTTTCTGGGATTGGTAAATAGAATTCCAAAGCGTATTAGGACTTCATTGTGGGTTACCTGGAGGTCTTGATCTGAATGCCAGTATTCTTACCTTTTAGCTTCATGTGAAGGACCTGAATGAGACCATCAAGTACATGCACAAACACAAAAAGTACCAAAAGGTAAGGTTGGCTTTGGGGTGGCCGCGGAGGGGGGGGTGGGGCACGGTACGAGGAAGGCAGCGGATGCAGCGCCCACCTCCGGGGCGTGCCTCTGACTCTGGGCGGTGGTGTTTTCTGGAAAGGGGGCCCTTTCGGTCAGTTTCCCAGGATGGACCTTTTCTGCTCCTAGGGCTCTAGCTAGTAGATCAGAATCACTGGCATCTTGTTGCAACAAAGAGTTTGACTCAGGTCTGGGGAGAGGCCTGAGAATTTGCCGTCGAGTTGGCGCTGACCTGCTGGGCCTGGGACCATACTTTGAGGAGCACTGTTCCTAGGACTGTCAGCAATGTTGGGCAGTTGGGAGGAACATACCACCATGTTATTTTCACCTTGGCCCTCGCTCGCCTGTAGCATCCTTAATAGAAACTGCACAGCTCAGGCCCGGACGTGGTAGCACCGTGGGAAGACAGCCGGCCGCCCCATCTCCCCGTGCTGGACCGTGAAAGTGTCCTTTGCATCGTCTGTGGCTCCATTTTCCCCACATTCTTTCAGCTAATAGATGGTTTATTCTGTCAGTGACGAATAAACTCGAGTCCTTCTGGTCTGTGTGGCAGCAGCTTCTGCAGCCTCTGGCAGCAGAGATGTCTCCCAAAGCAAAAGCGAAAGACTCTTAGGGTGGGTCAGAGCGGGCAGAGCCGGAGGAGCTTTGGGGAGCGTCTGCCTGGCCGAGGGCTGAGCCCACCTGTCTCGTTCACCTCGCAGATGGTGTTCTACATTGAAGCCTGCGAGTCGGGGTCCATGATGAGACACCTGCCCACCGACATCAATGGTAGGTGGTGGGAGCCCTGGACTCTGAGCCAGGCCGGGTGAGCCCGTGGCTCGTGGGTGCAGTTGGTCAATCTCTGATTCTGCCACTGTGAAGAACCAAGACGTCTACATAAGCGGGGGCCTAGGGCAGCCGTCGAAGTGGGGAAATAGGTGTGGGCAGTGCTGGGCTCCCTCTAGTCCTCGGGGATTAGTGGCCAGGGAAGAAGGAATCAGCACGTGAGTGTCACGGTGCTCGTCCAGGGTTTGTAAAGCTCCATAGATCCACCATCGCCGTCTTGGGACTGGCCCGGTCCTCTGCGGCGTGGTGCTTGCTGGCTCTGGTCCTGGCCAGGTGACTACCCTCTTGACCCTCAGGTATTCCGCCTGTAAAATGGGTGTAACGATAACGCCTGTTTATTTGTTTATCATTTTAAGTGATAACATTTGTCAGGCACAATTCTGAGCCTGACATGGTCGCTATTGCAGAGGTTGAGCCAGCCTGTTCCGCCCGTAAATGTTAACTCTCTCCAGAAACTAAGTGAGGTGCGTGTTCTTCCAGTTGCCGGAGCTGTTGAAATCTTGCAGCGTTATTCCAGAACAGCTCCATGTCCTAACAAGCCCGCGTGCCTGCTTACTGCTGTACCAAGTGCCCATCAGCTGGCTTCTCCTTCCACGTGTCATTTGAGTCGCGTAATCATAACTGAGCGAACAGCGCAGGGTGCGCGGCGTCTCCCCGCCCTCCCTGCGCTGACCAGCAGTGACACTTTGCACCAGAGGAGGAAAGACTCAGCTTCACGTGGAATCCACAGCAGAGAATAAAACGTGACTGAAAGGTGTCTTTAATCCCTCGCAGTTTATGCCACGACGGCCGCCAATCCCGACGAGTCATCCTACGCCTGTTACTACGATGAGCAGAGGTCCACGTACCTGGGGGACTGGTACAGCGTCAACTGGATGGAGGACTCGGACGTGGTGAGCCCTGCAGGGGCAGGCTGTCCGGCTGAGGCTTACCCTTCAGGCTGGAATGGTCGAGGGACTTACTGCTCACATTTTTGCAGGAGGACTTGACCAAGGAGACTCTGCACAAGCAGTACCAGCTGGTAAAGACCCACACCAACACCAGCCACGTCATGCAGTATGGGAACAAGGTGAGTCCTGTCGGTTCCCATCCCGGCCGCCGCGCCTGGGACGTTAAGTCTTGGTGAAGGAGCGGGGCCTGGGGGAGAGATGGCTGGGGTAGGGGTGGCCTCGCCTCTCATGGGCACTCCATCCTGGGAACCTGATTAGGCTTTGGAATCGGACCTTGCTAGGGTCAAACTGGCAAAGTCGTGAGACTTAGGGGCAAGCTACCTAACCTGGGTCTCCATTTCCTCCATGGTCAGAGCCCTCGCGTGGCGGGTAATTAGGGGCATTTAAGAAGGTCATGCATCAAAAACACTAAACACGGGCCAGGCACACGGGGAGGTCCCTCTGTCGGCAGCTGCTCCAGCGTCTCTGGCAGGGCCCACAGAACCCACACCTCAGATGGCCTGGGTCCTGCCTCGCTCTGCATGTTGCAGGGGTTACCTTGACCCTTTGGCTATAAGTTAGAGACGTTCCCCTTCCAACTCTGTCTAGACCAGGGGTCCTCAAACTACGGCCCGCGGGCCACATGCAAATACAAATATTGTATTTGTTCCCGTTTTGTTTTTTTACTTCAAAATAAGATATGTGCAGTGTGCATAGAAATTTGTTCATAGTTATTTTTTTTTAAACTATAGTCCGGCCCTCCAACGGTCTGAGGGACAGTGAACTGGGCCCCTGTTTAAAAAAGTTTGAGGACCCCTGGTCTAGAGGGTCCTAGGTTGTGAAATAGGTTCACCAGGGCTGTCTGGACAAGGTCGCAGCCAGTTTTCAGGCTGCGATGCTGGTCCTTCAGTGGTACTGAAACTAGGCAGCGTGAACTGTGGGCCTCCAGGACCAGGGTAAGGCTGGCTCATTTGATCTTCTCATTCCAACCAGTTTCTCTCTCTCTCTCCCCCCGTCCCCGCCGCAGTCCATCTCTACCATGAAACTGATGCAGTTCCAGGGTGTGAAACACAAGGCCAGCGCTCCCATATCCCTGCCGCCCGCCCCACACCTGGACCTCACTCCGAGCCCCGAGGTGCCCCTCATGATCATGAAGAGGAAGCTGATGCTCACCAACGACCTGCAGGAGTCCAGGCGTCTCGTCGAGCAGATCCACAGGCACCTGGAGGTGAGTCCTGGGACAGGACCGCTCCCGGCCTCGCGCGCTGGGTCTGCCTCCCGAGTGCTGCTGGGAGCCGGGGGCCGAGCTCCGGGGCACCCCTCCTCCTGCACGTGAGAGTTGGTGGAAGAGGACCCTGGCCTTGGTTTCTGTGTAGATAGAAGGCCCTGAGCAGGGCAGACATGGTCTTCATTCTTCATTGGTGGCTGACCTTGACCTCCGGGTGCAGGGAGCAAAGGAGTAGGGCCTTTGCTGTGTCCTGCCCAGAGCCCACAGCAGATGGGCGGGTATATTTTCCCTTTCATGCCTGGTTGCTTAGACATTTTCATTTTGATGCCTGGTGAGTTATTAATCATATTTATATATTTTAAATCCAATCTACTAAAATGTCTCCTGCCTTAGGAAACCCTAGTCAGAGCCTAAAATCCTTTAGATGCTCGGGCTGTCCTTTATGGTCATGGAGTTTGTTGTCAGTAGCTCATCTGCTTGCTTGGAGCTGGCAGAATTACCTGGCAAATCACCGCTGTGTGGCAGACACCCCCAGGCGGGCACCCACTGGGGTGCTGGGCGGGGCTGATGGTCCCGGCAGCAGAGCCAGCTCCATGTTCACGCTGTCCCCCGTGTTCACGCTGTTCCCTCATAGGCAAGCACGGGGATTGACGTGCTGGGCGGAGCGTGGCCTGAGTTTTCCAGGGAAGAGAAACATCTGTGATGTGTTTTAAATGCATATACAGGGTGGGGCTACAGTTGGCTTACAGTTTAAACAGTTATTCTTGTGTTGTTATTTAGTAACTATTGTGTAATTTCCCATAGAAACAATGTAAGCCTACTTTTCCTCACCCTGTATCTAATCCCTACAGTTGGCCTCTCGCACTGTTGCGCTATAATAACCAGGACATAATGCACTTTGTCCATCCCACAGTGTGATCAGCATTGTCATACTTCTTTAGCTTTAGACCGATTTACACTCTTAAAATTATTCACCCCAGAGAGCTAATATTTATGAGGGTTATATCAGTATTTCCTGCATTAGAAATGAACACTGAGCTGAAACCGGTTTGGCTCAGTGGATAGAGCGTCGGCCTGCGGACTGAAAGGTCCCAGGTTCGATTCCGGTCAAGGGCATGTACCTGGGTTGCGGGCACATCTCCGGTGGGGGATGTGCAGGAGGCGGCTGATCGATGTTTCTCTCTCATCGATGTTTCTGACTATCTCTCTCCCTTCCTCTCTGTAAAAAATCAATAAAATATATTTAAAAAAAAAGTCTGACATGCCCATCAAGCCAGTGAACAGCTGCAAAGCTCTGGCGGGATGACTGTATGTGATATAATCTACTTTATATGTTTTAGTCATCACATGGATGTCTGCTCTGGTTAAAATGCAGATATTGTTTCCTGATGAGAGTGGAAGGGAGGGATAGGAGGTGGGGAAAGAGAGAGAGAGGGGAAGAGAGGATGTGAGAGAGACACATCCATTGGTTGCCTGCCACCCTGCCCTGACCAGAACCAGGGACTCAAGCCTGCAACCCGGGTACATGTCTCTGATCGGGAGTCAGCCCTTGACCCTTTGGACATCAGTCTATTTGGGAGTTGGGCCTTTCACTCCTTTCCGCGGAGTGGGCCCCATGCCTGCTCCTAAGCTATTTAGATGCCAATGTGTTCGTCGTGCCGGGAGATCCCTAAAAGGCACGGGATTCTCAAGGTCTCCGGCTGTCACAGGCGCCACATCTTCCGCCGCCTGCAGGGTGCACCTGTTGGCGTCTGTTTTAACATACGGGGGTGGGGGCTGTGGGAAGAGAAGCTCCTGACCCACCCAGCATCCCAAGAGAGGCCTCAGGAAGTGAAGTACAACACATTGCAAAAAGATGCGTTTCCTCACAGAGCAGGCATATCATGGAGAAGTCGGTGCAAA